ATATATACAGTATATAAATTAAGAAATAACTAAGATAGAGAGACAAATACCTTGAGAAGTTAGCATTTACTGATGGATATAGCTACTACATGTGAAAAATATTTAACCAAGTGACAAAGTTAAGAAAATAGAAGAGAGAGAATCAGTACAAACCATGTAAGGAGTTGGAAGATTCTATAGCTTTTAAAATATAATCTAATACAACTGGAACAAAATTGACTTAAAGTTGTGATTATGGTAATACACTCACCCAGAGGCCTGGTATACCAGCAGGTGCGCACCACACAGCAGAAGGGTCAGGAAGGAGTGCCACACGTCCACCCTTTTGTGTGTCCGGGTCAACATTCACAACTCGGTCCATCAGTTCCTGCACACAAAGAATGTAAAGCTAAAAACATATGGAGGTTTTTGCTAACATGATTCCCTAACAGTATAGCCTTCCAGTCCAAGAGGAATGGCACTTGACAAAAAAATTCACCGAAAAGAAAGGTTATAGCTACTCCTTTTATAAAGTAATACAGTACATCTCCTTAACTCTAAAATTATGTATAATACTGAGAAATTCCCTAAGAAAAGGGAAGCATTATGATCATCAGGCTTGTAAAGTATAAGTTGCAAAGTAAATAAACACATTTAAATTCAGTGTGAAGATTATACAGTACAGTAATCCCGTGTTTTTTGCGGGTTTTTTAATCGTGGTTTTAACCATTCGCGGTTGTTGTTTTTTTTAATTATATATACCCTGTATATAAAATATCCTTTAAAATTTTTAATTTCACGCCATTTTCGATATACCCGTGCAGTGCGACAAACACGGCAAAGGACGCCACCCTTTCCCGCCTCAGACACCCGGTGCTTAGAGAAGCCTCAGTCTATACGTGCCTACCTTACTGTGACCGCTACTGTGATTACCTCTTCTGTTTGTCCTCCCATGTGCATCCCACATGGCTCTGGGAATGCAAATATTACTAGCAAAGACTCTAAAGTGACCAAGAGATCAAGAATAGTGATGACCTTAACGGAAAAAAACAGTTTTACTGGACAAGCACAGAGGTGGCATAAGCTATGGCTCGAGATGTGGTGAAGACTGACAATTCATTTGTGTCTTTTGTCAGAATACAGTCTTCAAGTGGAAGAATGTGGGTGGAAGAGGACTGATTCACTGACTGACTGACTGGCATGATTGCGTGATGGCGGGCAGACGCCGGGACAGCACGGAGAGGCTGGCAATGCGGGTGTTGCTGACCTCAGCGAAATAAAAAATTTATTTACTTGTAAATAAAATTGTTTTGTACATAACTGTGTTTACGTTTTTCCATTATTATACTACAATATGATTAGTTTCAAATAATGATGTTAGTAAATGCCGGGACAGTGCATCAGTGATCTATGTGACCACTAGGAAAGTGAGTGGAGAGGATGGCGTGGTTAAGTGCATGACCTACCTGAGCTGTTTGGTGGCCACAGGTACAGTGATTCATACGAGTATTCGCGGTTTTAGCTTTTCACGGGGGTTTCAGGAACGTAATTCCAGCGAAAAACACGGGATTACTGTACAGTACTTTAAACTGGAAACTCAACAAGTAAAGGTGTTGACCGTTATACAATGGGGTTAAGGACTTCAAAAAGCCATTCCTATGGTGATCAATGCATGCCAATATTAATCCACAGAACCTAACCTAACCTCCTCCTGGGAATGTTAAGAATTTTATCTTTGCAATCAATAGTTCAGACAATTTTAAGACACTTTTGCTTTTTATGACGTTTCCCTAGTAAATGACCAAAAAAATTATCTAACCTAACCTCCCAGTGTATACAAGCATTTGCAAGGGAAACGTCATGGAAAATGTCTTTAAATTGTCTAAGCTATTGATTGCAAAGATAAAATTCCTAATATTCCCAGGGGGAGGTTAGGTTAGGTTCTGTGGATTGTTGTTTCCATCTTCGTGTTTTAGCATCATGCAAAATAGCATCTCCAGAAATTTTGGTGCAATTCAATACATAATTGTTACTCTGCTAACCGTCTCCTTCACTTTTACTAAATTTAAAACTAAAATTAAAAATATTACCCTAAATATATAATAACGTTTCACTTATCCTTTTCGTACATTATGCCAAGTTACCACAGCCGTAAGACACAGTAATTGTTATTTACTTTTCTTAATTAACTCTTATCCCTTGGTTCTGCTGCCAAATGTGTATTATTTACATCAAAACAAACACCCACAAGGTTTAAATGGAGCCTGTTGTGTTTGTTTATCTTAATAGCTACTTACGTTTAAATGGCGCCGTAATGTTTTAACTTTGCTCGCGAATATTTAAATGCCGGTTCCTACCCAGCCACTTACACCTCCTATACCTTTCCTAACAAACTTACTTAAACTTGTCACAGTTACTTAAGTTACAATCCCTTACTCTTCTCACATTATATTAATCACAATACTTGCACAACTAACTCCTAGGCAGCCGCTCCTCCTTACATACCTCCGAACATCCTATAGTATATCCCAAGACGCCAAGTAGATTCTAGAACGTTCTACTGTGATCGAGGCTTACAATAATAAATAAATAGAACAAAAATGATGCTATGCCTTCTAGAATATTCTTACATAATTAATATATAAATATCATCAATATGTACACGAAAATTTCACTACATTTGCCAAAATAACTGTTGTGTGGGACGGAAAACAATCAAAACACCTAGTTTACAAAATTATAATACGAAATTATGCCTCGGCATAACAATAATATACACCGTCACGTTTGTTAATTTAATAAGGGGAAGCGTAGTGTGTCAGTGAGGATGGTAGAGAAAATACTGAATAGTTAATGATAATAATGATGATTAATAATTACGATAAAAAATTATTAACCGAGATGGCTATTGTTTTTTTTCTTCTGTATATCAAGAAGGATGGTAACTACTACAATGTTTGCTATTAAAGTGATTATACTTATTATTATTACTTTATTCGTAAAAAAAATAGTAGTGAATGAACAAACATTTCATATATCCCAAACTATGCCTAAAATGAAATGCTTTCAAGAAAGGACCAGCTAATACTATTACCTAAACACTCAGCAGGACGCATGAACACCAACAACCTTCTACCACAACAACAAGGCAACTGACTGGTAAATTTAGATTTTTAGAAGGGAAAGTCAGGACCCTCGATATACGTTATGTAAAACTATAATATCTACCTGGCATCTCCTTTACATTTTCATAGAAAACGAATCCTTAATACGATATCATTAGAGAACGAAGACGTTTAGTGGCTAACTAATAAAGTTCAAATGATTCGTATAAAATCACATTGGTTTACCATAGAAAGGGACAGTTAAGATATTTTCCCAATTTACCTAATGGCCACCCAATAGAGGTGGCCATACCAAGGAAAGGAGTCCAGTGGCCTCAGTAAGATTCCTCCATTGTTCTTGATATTTTTTTAAGCCCAATACTGTACTCGATTCCACAGCTCTGTGTGAAAAAGTATTTCCTTGTCGTTCTGCATGATAACTCGACGAGCTTGTCTCAGTTCGTCAGTTGTAATAAAGTAGTTTTCATCTGGATGGCGTTCAACACAGGCGATTTCCAGTGCGAATCCTCTGTCTATGAAGTTCTCTTGGGGGGTAGGTCAGTGACTCGAGATTGGGCAGCCTAGGGTTCCACCAGTTCATCAGGATATTCCCAGGGACTGTAGTTTCTTTCCTTTTCGCATTTTTTTTCTACAGGTGTCAGCAGTAGAAGTGGAGTAATTAATACTCGAGACAAATCGGTTCCACTGATCGGAGCGGACGCGATCCCAGATATTTCTCAAATCCTGTACAGAGGGAAAGTTTTCATCTCGAGAATCTTGTGTGGGGTTCCGTCTGTGACTTGCCGCCGTGACATCCACGTATGCGGTTGTCCAGGACCCAAGGGGATTCTCGGTCGAGCTTTTTGTTTGGGGTGATCTTGGGATATAAATCGGTAGTACTGTAGATTTGTTTGGTGGTGTCCGTCAAATCATCATTGGACTACATAATGATCAGGCACAAGATAACATGGCCGACGTATATGGAGTGTGGCCTCTTTGGGGACCCAGTACTAAACGGCAATGGCGATGTGGTCTGAGATGATGTGAGACACAAGACTTGTCTCTAGCCTGTCACTAATAAGGCCAGCAATTAGTACGTGGTCAAGCGTCCCACCCATAGTATATGTTGGACCTTGTGGAGTATAATAATGCCGTAGATGTCGACGAAGTGCACTAAACGTGTCTGGCCCATAAGGTTGCTTCCGCCAAAGGGGTCGTGAAGTTCAGGATGACGAGCGTTAAAATCGCCTGTGTATCGTGGAGTTTGGGAGATGTTCAGACTTCATGGTTTGTCCGTGCCCTAAGACTACGCAGAGATGGATATGACTGCCCGCCACGTTGAGTTGTCGATGATATTGGGTGACCTCGTCGAGGCTCGCTCTGACCAGTTTGTGCTGTAGGGACTGTTTGATGTAGATTACGAGGCCGTTTTGGATGGGTGAGAAGTACAAAATATATCCAGGAAGAAGATTAGGGGTGTGAAACTGGGCGCCTTTCACAAACGGTTCTTATTGAAGAATGACGTGTGTTATGGGTGTGGACGTAACAGGAGAGGCTGATGAGGCCGTGTATATTCCGGGAGAGAAACGTGAACTGCTCTAGATTATGAAGGGTGAGAGGTTTTTGCCGATTGTCTATTGTGAATTATTAGTGAAGGTTGGTCTCGGGTGCTACACGAGTTGGGATCTTGGCGGTCTTTGCGATGGGAGAGTCAATAGCAGTAGCGTAGTCGGCAAAGTGATTACAAAAGGAATTCATGTTGGCGAGTGATTATGCACAGTATAAATTTTCGAGATGTTTGTTTTCCTTGCTCAAGTTTTTGCTCACTAGGATCATAACTAACTCCCTCAGCTCGTTCTCGTGGGAATTGTGTTTCATTCCATTTATCCATTTTGATTAGCCGTTCTATGTCATGTCTGTCCTTCTTGAGCCGCATTTCTGCTTCCGCTTTTTGTCGAATGGCGGATTCAGCCAGTTTCAGGAGTCTGTCATTTTCTACATTCTACTGTCGTTATAAGTCTCTTTCAAGTGTTTATTGGGGCCATTTCGTCCTTAAGAAGTTTTGTATATGGTTCTTGTCAGGGGTGAGTAAGGTTGGTGGTGGAGGTGTGTATACTTTTACTTTTATCCTCTTCGCCACTGATCGGCTTGTTAGCCGCCCGGGCGATCGGTCACGTCTCTGTCACGCACTGTTGGCAAGTACTGGGCATGCACCGGCTCCTGAATGTACCTGAACCCGCTCCAGTGTTGGTCAAGTCTTGTCTTGAAAGAGCTCACACTCGGTGCCGTCACAACACTCTCTGGTAGATTGTTCCAAGAGTTTACAACCCTCACTCCGAAGAAGTTTGCCCTCACGGTTTTCTGGACCTGCGGCTTCTTCAATCTTGAGCTGTGACCCCTTGTGGGGCGAGCGTCCGCCAGCTCCAAGTAAGGACACTCAACTGAGTAGTGCCCCCTGAGATGCTTATACACCTCAACTCGGTCTCCCCTTGCCCGTCTGTAGTATAAGCTAGGCAAGTGAGGGTGTGGTGGTGAGGGTGTGGTGGTGAGGGTGTGGTGGTGAGGGTGTGTGGTGAGGGGTGTGGTGGTGGGAGGGTGTGGTGGTGGGAGGTGTGAGGTGAGTGAGGGTGTGGTAGTGAGGGGTGTGGTGGTGAGGGTGTGGTGGTGGGTGGTGAGGGGTGTGGTGGTGAGGGGTGTGGTGTGAGGGTGTGGTGGTGAGGGTGTGTGTGGGGTGTGGTGGTGAGGGTGTGGTGGTGAGGGGGTGTGGTGGTGAGGGTGTGGTAGTGAGGGTGTGGTAGTGAGGGTGTGGTGGTGAGGGTGTGGTGTTAAGTATTGGGGTAACGATAGAGAGGATGGTAATGTATGTTGGACTGTGGGGTTAGGTGGGGGGGGGTGTGGGGGTGAAGGGGGGGGTGAGCAGCGTGAGGGGGAGAGGAAGGTTGAGGTGACACCGTGACAGCATTGTAAGAGTCAGTTCACCAGTGCTCCTAATCGTCACCAGTCATGCTGCCTCCTACTCCTCCTCCCAGGTTAGTCCCCATTACCTGTACTCTACCTTAACTCACCTCATTACCTGTGCCCCTCTCGCTCATGTAACAAGGTGTTCGAAAAGTCTCTGTGTACCTGAAATATTTCACCTAAGAACATAGTTTCTCTTTTGTTTTGCGTATATTATTAAATACTTTCTTCTACTTACATTAATTATATGATATTGTATCCAGTTAATTTTAAGGTACAATATTATAATACGTTTGGTTTAGTTAAATTACGTTAAGATATATTTAGGTTAGGTTAATCTTATAGTAATTAGAAAACTGTGTGTTTTTTGGGGGTTTTTTTATGTGTGGCAGGTATGTGTGGCTGTTGGGACTCATGGTGATGACACTCGTCGACCAAACAGCAGCGTCAGACAGTGAGTGTTGTATATATTTTAAAAGTTGTATCTGATTGTGCATTACTACCATACTACACACCACACCACACTACCACCACACAACACTACCACCACACAACACTACCACCCCACCACACTACCACCACACCACACTACCACCACACCACACTACCACCACACAACACTACCACCACACAACACTACCACCACCACACTACACCACACCACACTACCACCACACCACACTACCACCACACAACACTACCACACACACACACACTACCACCACACAACACACCACTACCACCACACAACACTACCACCACACAACACTACCACTACCACCACACAACACTACCACCACACAACACTACCACCACACTACCACCCCACCACCACACAACACTACCACCACACAACACTACCACCACACAACACTACTACCATCTGTCCACCGTTATACATGTGATGAAGTCAAATATACAAATAGTCTTCGTAAATAAGAACAGTGCGTAGATATTCATTTTCATCTGGGGTTCTTTGGGTTACCATATACAGAAGAGCCTGCAAAACTGACAGCAAAATGAGCTGTTCTCACCCCTTGTCACAGCAGATGAATTACTGGCCCATCATAAAAATGTCCAAAGATGCAGCAGCAAGCGAAGACAATATACCAATGAGCATCATTAAGAAAGTAGCCCACTTATTACTACCTGTTCTCCTACACAATTGTAACTCCTCCTTCACTAGTGGTGTCTTTCCGGATTAACTGAAAATTGCTAAAGTTTACCCAGCATATAAAAAATCTGGGGACAAAGGTCTCTTCAAGAATTACCGCCCCATATCAGTCCTCCCAGCCTTGAGTAAGATACTAGAAGAGCTAGCATGTAGTAGACTAAATTACTTCTGCAATGCCAATAACATCTTTACAGACTCCCAGTTTGGATTTAGAGCTAGAAGGTCGACTGAGAGTGCTCTGCTATCCTTTACTAATGACATCTTAAATTCCTTTGATGACAGTCAGTTCACAGTCGGTATATTCTTGGACCTCTCTAAAGCCTTCGATACTGTCGACCATACCATCCTCCTTTCAAAGCTTGAACATTACGGCGATAGGGGCCTGTCCCACAATTGGTTTACCTCATATCTGTCCAGCAGGATGCAGTATGTCTGCTATAATAATCACCAATCTGACTCCTCGCCAATCTTGTATTGCGTCCCCCAAGGTTCCATTCTCGGTCAGGTACTGTTTTTGTCGTACATAAACGACATAGTCCACGCCAGCACACTCATAAAATACAACTTATTTGCAGACGATAGTAATCTCTATGCCAGCAACTCAGACCTCCATTCCTTGATGAGAACTATGAACTCTGAATTGACTAACGTCAGGACCTGGGTAATACTTAATAAACTGACCTTAAACCTTGAGAAAACCCACTACACGATGTTTCACAGAAGGAAAAACTTACCACCAGACTTGGACCCCCTGTACCTTGGTGATACAGTCCTCAAACGCGAACAAAATACTAAATTCCTCGGAGTTATTGTTGATGAGAAACTTAACTGGAGAAACCACATACAAGCCATTCACAGTAAAGTCAATAAACAGTGGGGTATCATGTATCACACTCGACAGTCACTCACTCTCACAGCAATGAAAGAAATCTACCATGATCTTGTTTACCAACACCTGATACACTGTCACACACTAAGGGGGCCTCTGGCTCTTCAAAAACACAATCTCTGGTTACTGTACAAAAGAGAGTTGTATGGACAATGACCTACTTGGAAAAAACAGATCACACAAACGAAATATTTGCTATATTGAAAAATTTTAAATTCGAAGATATTAACACCTACTGCTGTGCCCTCTTTGTTTACAAATCTATCAATCACATGCTTGACAATAATTATTTCCAGTACCGGAATAATCAGAGATACAACTTAAGGCACCAAGAGCTACTAAGACCAACCCCCATGCGCTCCTCTCAGTCCCAGACCTCCATAAAATATTATGGTGCGAAGGTGTGGAACAACTTACCCCCACCCATCCAAGCAAAGACTACGCTCCCTTCCTTTAAATCATCTCTTAAAAAATATTTATTGTCTAAGTATTAATATTTCTTGTAACACCTACTATATTTACAGTACCTGCTTTTATTGTACCATCAAAACCGTTTTATCGGAAATTATCATGTAAATAGATAAGTAATTACCATTGCAATAAACATAATTGCCAACTAGACATAATCCTGACAGCTCCGTCCTCTTGTTCAACCAGATTACTATACAACCCATGTTGTTCTGCTCCCCCATTATACTTAAGTTTTTCAATTCCACTGTAATTTATGTATATAAAAAAATAAACTAAAATATAATAATAAATAAATAAAATTAATAAATATTGAAGTGATAACCGTGGTAACATTATGAGATGTTCAAATTACCACCATGCTTTTGTACTATTCCAGATGATACTAAATGTTACATATTACATCCTTGAGAATATATCAGGTTTCTAAAAGAGAGCTCAGGTTCTCAACTGGCTCAGCCATGTTAATATTGTTATTATTATCCACTCTGTATCTGTGTTTTTCTGGCTAAATAAACTGTTTCAATTCAATTCAAGTATGCACATCACAACCCAAAGAAATAGTGAACGGAAGGTGGTTGGCGATGAACAATATTTATGGTTACGTCGTGTGTGATGTGGGCTACGTAAATGAAGACGTCTTCCAGTACTTCAGTTCTGCACAGTGTGACGGTGATAAGTGGAAAGATGTCGACCATTGTATTGAAGACACTAAGAAAAGTAAGTTTAGTGGATGAGATTTTATTTTATTTATTTTATTTTTTTATTTTTTTTAGCATATCCTTATGAAATGAGTCTGTTTTTTCTCACCCTCAGTCCCTTAGTTGATCATAATAAATGAAAATAAAAATGATTTTCTCTTATGTTTCCAGTAAGCATCATGTTCTCAGCCTCAGTTGGAACTAAGCTTCATGTTCTCAACCTCCGTAGGAACTAAATCGGCGGTGTACCAACTACCCATCACATTGTAAACTTCATGTTCTCAGCCTCAGGAGGAACTAAGCTCATAGCCAACGTATTCTCTAATATACTATAGGAATAGCCATGTGTCTGTCTGTCTGTCTGTTCTGGGCAGCCGAAATGGCACAATCGTTTTTCATCAAACTTGGTGGAAAAATCGCAAAAAATTCGTAGAGTGAAACAAACCTGGTCCCATGTCGATGGTTTCTTTAGGAAGGCATTAATTAACCATTTTATTTAAGATGGAAAACGATGCAAGTCTACGGACTTGGCGCACCCTAATTAACCATGCACGTCTATGGACTTGGCACACCCTCATTCACTGTACGCTAGCCAAGCATGAGCGTTCAAACTTTCACCGGGCACGAAGGGCCAGCGATCACTTGTATATTTACTATAACAATTAACCTTAATAATATATATATATATATATAAAACTAACAAATACTCGATTTAGGTTATTATGTAAAGAATATATGTTCTCTAGGGGTTATGGGAGAAACTTGTTGGAGGGATGAGCAGTGTACCGACCAGCGGGAATCCAGCAACTGCGTCGTCTACACAGAGTCGGAGATGTCTTCGGCCAACTGTATCTGTATCCCTACCTCTAACCTCGACTCGTGCGCCTGGTTATCTTCCGGGTCTTGGATGTTGAGTGTGTGTAACGGTTCCATGTACCTGGCCTACAACTTCCCCACCAACACCTGTTTCTGTAATGAGATTCTAGCCACCTGTCAATCAGTCTCAACAAAGGCAACGACTAACATTCCTACAACAACAACTCCTACTAACATTCCTATAGCAACAACTACCGCTACTACTAACATTCCTACAACAACAGCAACAACGACTAACATTCCTACAACAACAACGACTGCCACTAACATTCCGACAACAACAACAACAACTAACATTCCTACAACAACAACGACTACCACTAACATTCCGACAACAACAACAACAACAACAATTAACATTCCTACAACAACAATGACTAACATTCCTACAACAACAACGACTACCACTAACATTCCGACAACAACAACAACAACAACTAACATTCCTACAACAACTAACATTCCTGCAACAACAACAACTAACATTCCTACAACAACAACAACAACAACTAACATTCCTACAACAACGACTAACATTCCTACAACAACGACTACCACTAACATTCCGACAACAACAACAACAACTAACATTCCTACAACAACAACAACGACTAACATTCCTACAACAACAACAAATGGTACAACAACTATCGCAACAACAACAACAGTAACAACAACCAACGCCACAACAGAAACAACAACAATTTCTCCATCAACAACCACAACAACAACCAGAGACTCCACTACAACAGCGACAACAACACACAACACACAACCCACTACAACAGAGACAGCTACCTCACCCATGTCAACGGTAAACACACCAACAGAAACAACAGATTTACCAACGGCAACAGGTAAGATAAATTAATCCCTTTCCACCTGTGTTTCATAATTCTTCATCTTCTTTAATACGAATGAAAATTTGAAATTACAACCAATCAGTTTTTTATGATGTGTGGGGAGAGTGTGTGGGGGTGGGTGTGTGGGGAGTGTGGGGGAGTGTGTGGGGGCTAGTGTGGGGAAACTAGTGTGTGGGGGCTAGTGTGTGTGGGAGAGCTTGGGGGAGCTAGTGTGGGGAGCTAGTGTGTGGGAAGCTGGGGTGTGTGTGGGGAGCTAGTGTGTGGGGGGGTGTGTGTGGGCTAGTGTGTGGGGCTAGTGTGTGTGGGGAGCTTGTGTGTGGGGAAGCTGAGTGTGTGGGGGCTAGTGTGTGTGGGGCTAGTGTGTGGGGGGTGTGTGGGGGACCTAGCTGTGTAGGTGTGTGTAGCTAGGTGTGGGGGAGCTAGTGTGTGTGGGTGTGTGTGGGGAGGTGTGAGGTAGCTAGTGTGTAGGGGAGCTAGTGTGTGAGATAGCTAGTGTGAGGTAGCTGGTGTGTAGGGGAGCTAGTGTGGGGGACCTAGTGTGTGAGGTAGCTAGTGTGTAGGGTAGCTAGTGTGTGAGGGAGCTAGTGTATGGGGGACCTAGTGTGTGAGGTAGCTAGTGTGTAGGGGAGCTAGTGTGTGAGATAGCTAGTGTGTAGGGGAGCTAGTGTGTGAGGGAGCTAGTGTGTGGGGGACCTAGTGTGTGAGGTAGCTAGTGTGTAGGGTAGCTAGTGTGTGAGGGAGCTAGTGTGTGGGGGACCTAGTGTGTGAGGTAGCTAGTGTGTAGGGGAGCTAGTGTGTGGGTGAGCTAGTGTGTGGGTGACCTAGTAAGAGGACATATAGCTGTAGCCTTGGACCTATTACACCAACTGACTTGTACTAAAGAAGTGAAGAATAAGAGCTGTTAATTTTCTGTATATATTCTCCTCGTTATATACCAATGTTCATATACACATTGTAAGATATACTGATATATTGATATATTATTTGTATTATAGGTTGTATACTAATTATATCCAGTTATAATTTATTAACTTTGTGTATTTTCTAACCAGGTTCTTTATTAATAATTTGGCCATCATGTATTTATTGATATACATTCATACACACTATCATACACATACTAATATACTTCCTCAAACTGGTTCATACTATCTCATACTGCCTCCATTATCAATCTCAATCTCTATTCACCAACTTTCACTCTGAGTATAAATGTATGAATGATAAGTGTGATAATATTTTTGTATATATGCCTATAACAAAGACATACTGAATTACTATAAATTTGTATTGTGATTTTACTGAGTATCTCTCTCTCTCTCTCTCTCTCTCTCTCTCTCTCTCTCTCTCTCGCTCTAGATAAATTAGACAATGTTAAGACACTTGATAGACGCTTCGAGTTTAATAACAACAACAATAATAATAATAATAATAATAATAATAATAATAATAATAATAATAATAATAATAATAATAAGGTAAGGTAAGGTTATTAGTGTCGCATCACCCTGTATTATAGTGTATTGTATATTTGTGTATGATCTTCCTCATTCGTCCATGTATGTATATAAATGTATGTATGTATGTATGTAGATCATGTGTAAGTATAAAAATATGTGTATGTACTGTGTGTATTATGTATGTATATAGCAAATGTTGTGTATATATATATATATATATATATATATATATATATATATATATATATATATATATATATATATATATGTATGTATGTGTATACTGTATGTATTATGTGTGTGTGTATGTGTACTATATGCATGTATACAATGTATTACGTATGTATGTACAGTAGCTGATGTATGTGCTTAAATGTGTGTGTGTGTGTGTGTATATATATATATATATATATATATATATATGTATTATTTAACCGGTGTATATGTATATTCTTATATCCATCAGTGTATCTATGTATTTATTTATGTATTCTTGTGTACATATATAAGTTTATGTATGTTAATGTGAAGGAAAATTATAAATATTTGTAGGACTTGTGGTATTTTTTCCCTAAGAATATATTGTCCTTCTGAAAATACTTATAAAAGTTACCTCCTCCAGAGTTGTGTGTGTGTGTGTGTGTGTGTGTGTGTGTGGTTCGAGGCTTCTAGAACCAGAGGATATATTCTGCAGCGAAGATATACTGAATGAAAAACAAAAGAAGTATTGGAACTGGTAAGAATGAGAGAAATACTGGAAATGTATAATAAATAACAAGATAATGAATAACAACAATTAGGAATGAAAGAATAATGGCAGACACCACAAGTACAATGAGGTCTGAATTTTAGCCTAGTGTAGCAGGAAGGGCCCAGATTCACTAACGGGTTGAGAACTTTGTAAGTGTTTAAAGAGTTCATTAATCTCCTGCTGTGGTGATTCACTAAAGAATTACTTAGTCTTCAACTCGATTTAAAATGACTGACTTTTATGGTAACAATTGAGATCTTGTACACAATTGCAAGGCGGAAATAAGGCCGTTTTCTCCACTATATAACCCATAGCAAAACACACAGAGCGGCTTGAAAAATAGCCGCCATCTTGAAAAATAGCAGCCATCTTAAAAAATAGCCGCCATCTTAAAAAATAGCTGCCATCTTGAAAAATAGCCACCATCTTAAAAAATAGGCGCCATCTTAAAAAATAGCTGCCATCTTGAAAAATAGCCGCCATATTAAAAAAATAAAAGCAAAATAACTGTTTAAGTATTAATTGTCTCGAAAAATAACATCCATCACTCAAAGTTGTTCTAAATCATGTATAGTTCCCCATTATCTTATTATCTTTGTTATTAATACGATTTTGGAGACTAAAGTGCTTCCATAAATCTCTCTAAAGTAGAAGTCATGAAGTTGGTCGAGGATTACTGGAAAGATGCAGAAGACTACCACAAAGTGTGTTGTTATCAGGCTGTGGAGGAGACTGACGAGGCAGACAATGTTCCCACTGAGACAACTGAAGAGTATTATAGGCATTCGCTAAGAGTTCCATTTCCTGACCACAAGATACAAGCAGACGTAAAGTTATGACGTATACATACCAATATAGCAGACGTAAAGTTATGACGTATACATACCAATATAGCAGACGTAAAGTTATGACGTATACATACCAATATAGCAGACGTAAAGTTATGACGTATACATACCAATATAGCAGACGTAAAGTTATGACGTATACATACCAATATAGCAGACGTAAAGTTATGCGTATACATACCAATATAGCAGACGTAAAGTTATGACGTATACATACCAATATAGCAGACGTAAAGTTATGACGTATACATACCAATATAGCAGACGTAAAGTTATGACGTATACATACCAATATAGCAGACGTAAAGTTATGACGTATACATACCAATATAGCAGACGTAAAGTTATGCCGTATACATACCAATATAGCAGACGTAAAGTTATGACGTATACATACCAATATAGCAGACGTAAAGTTATGACGTATACATACCAATATAGCAGACGTAAAGTTATGACGTATACATACCAATATAGCAGACGTAAAGTTATGACGTATACATACCAATATAGCAGACGTAAAGTTATGCCGTATACATTTCAAAATATACAAGGGAACATATGTCATGGCAGTTTAATTGATCCTATATGAAACTACATTAAACACGACAAAAACTATCGTAGTTGAACGAAAAGTTTGACTATTGAGCGAAAACTTCGATGGACGACTAATATTTACGAGGGGATAATATGAAGTTACTATCGAATTCACTTTAAGTTACCCAGTATTTTACAATTGAACGACCAAACTCTTATTGTTCGTCAAAATATTGATTCCAAGAAAAGTTGACATGACTGTATTTAAAATGCTTGTTCTAATTTAGTAGTAAAGTGTGGAGATTTTTTTTTAGTGGGCAGAAATACACTAGGCACTATGCGTTGATTTCTAGGCTATTCAACACTGCTTAATAAATATTGGTAATTTTTCATGGTTTTCATTGTATTAATTTATGACATTTATGACATGATTTAAAACTGTCTTATCATTAATCCACGTAACAAAGTCAGGTTAGACGCAATGATTATAACGTGAAACTCTACATCAGACACAACATGAATACTGTAGTCGGGGTAATGTAGGTGGGTGGCGGCACGCTTCAGTCTGTGAGGTTTAGAAGGCCTTGTTGTCGCCAAGTCGAATATTTTAATGTGAAATGTAAATAATTTGTTGTGTGTGTGTGTGTGTGTGTGTGTGTGTGTGTGTGTGTGTGTGTGTGTGTGTGTGTGTGTACAGTCTGGAATAACTTTAAACGAGTCACCTAAGGATTACGTACCTCAACTGAAGATTAGACACCCCAGCTTATTTCATCTGATGATTAAACGCCTTAACTTAACAGCACCTAACTTAACTTTAACCTAACAAAATCTAGCCCAAACTACCCTAACCTAACCCCAGGTTGCGTTAAGGTGTTCAATAATCAGATGAAATAAGCTCGGGTGTCTAATCTTCAGGTAATCCAATTAAACTAACAAGTATAAATTTATTACACCTTCAATATACTGCTTTCGAAAAAAAACTGATGTAAAATATATAAATTTAACATTTTATGACCTAACAATGGCTAAATTAATCTAATTTAATATAATGAAAGCTACCGGAGATCTTTTGCTTATCCCAACATCTGTAGAATAAAAATATTAAGGTTCTGAGAGTTCATTGCATCAACTGTCAAAGGCATTTTCCAAAAAGGTCAAAGGTTAAGGTCAATATTCTTAATTTCTTACGTGACAATTTCTGAAACAAGGCCATGCAATTCCCGTAGAGTTTGGAAAAAGAATTAGAGAAAACGAAACCCGAGTAAACCTTGATGTAGGGGGGACTATCTTAATGTAGTGCACCTCCCATATAACACGCTAACATAGATATACTGTTAATACAAGTGGATATCAGAAGCTTTTAAGGTCTTTCTTGGTTTATCCTTGGTTGATCAACTTGCTAATACCACGAAAAACCTTGTAAAGAAATACCAGCACGGTTTTATGCTTGGACGGCCGACGCTCCTGCTTGACACAATTCCTTACTTTCCTTTTGTCGTTATTCTCTTTTTAATGCCTTATCAATATTTACTACCCCTTATTACTTTAAACCGTATATAACTATATAAGAAAATGACAAGCTAACTTTAAAATATAACTTTAATTACAGTCAAATCTTATACGATTAACAATGGAGCCATAAGTAAATATTGATAACTTGGCTACATATGTGTCCTTGTAGAAACCCAACAGCAACTGCACCGTCTAGTCTCCACGTTAGATCTGGCGCCCTGAAGCTGACGATTCCGAACTTCCTGCGTCCGACCCCAGGTAGCACTTGCACTGTACTTCCTCACCATAAAGAAGGCCACTGAGCCCAAGCATAAGCATTTATTTTCCCAACATTAAAAATATTCTCTTCATTACAATTGATAATATAAACGAAATAAAAAAATACAACAGTTCTTTTAAAGCATAATGCTGATCATTCAACACAATAATTAAACAAATAATACAATGTGGAATTAACCCACCGAAGAAAATGGGAATCGGCCACACACAAGCACAATCTAAACCATTCCCCCTAACACTATATTCATGTTGAAATGTATATCCGTACTGCCTATATACATGTTGAGATGTATACTTGTATAGTCTATATACATGTTGAGCTGTATACCTAGTGTCTATATAATCCTTAATTAATGGAAAATCACTCGACGATTTTACTGAATGATATATAATTATTTATTTTTACTCTAATCCTCTTCACCAATGATCGAGTTAGCCGCTTGGGCGACCGGTCACGTCTCTGTCATGCACTGTTGGCAAGTACTATTTTTATAGTCATGTACTGTTACGCACTGTTGGCAGGTACTGGGCATGCTTGACTATCGACCATAATGTTTATTTGATTGATTTCAGTAAGAGCTATTTATTGGCGAACATTGGAGACGTAAAAATTATATATATACCGTCTATTATACCGCTGATATATAATACTGTATCCACATTTTATACTCAGCGTA